CTTATTCTTTTTAATCTTAATGCTTTAAAAAAACCTATAGGCGACCAAAGTTTTTAATAAAATAAGGTAGGTTTGTTTCGAGAAGCTTATTTTTAACAATATTTTCATTAAAACAAAAATAAAAAACATTCTAAACATCTTATAAAATATATTTATAATTCTAATAACTTAAAAATTGACTTTAAATTCTACAATCAGCTCAAAATCAAAATTATTATTCATGAATTTAGATTTATCATTCTGAACAAATTTAAAAGAAAACAAACACTTTGTATAAACTTTATTCGTCGAAAGAAGTTTATTAACACCAAGACCACTCGTTTTCATCGCCGAAATTGATCTCAACCAAATTTATTTTTTTTTATTGAAATCTAACAACTTTCTGATTTCTTTATCAAATCAAAAATGAAATTTGGGATTTAAATTGGATGTCATAAATGTTTAGGGATTGAAATGATGTAATTTCATAAGTTAAATGATCAAAATGTATATTTAGCTTCAAATTTAGAAAAACTCTTTCTTTTTTGTTGTGTTTTTTTATCTCAGTCCCCTATCTTTGGGCACTAATTTGGCCTATAAAGGTATAATAAAAAAAAATTATTATGGCAGTCTATAGTGATTTGTTCATGAATAATAATACAAGGAACTATATTTTTCTAATGCCTTTTAGAGTATTTTTTTAATGGCACAAACAACATTGACATAAATAAATTTATTTTATATAGAAAATTTAATTTGTATAGTTATTAAACTGGACTGAATTAATTAATTAATTTATATTAGATTTTTTTTTGTTAGCCATGATAGATTTTAACCCGGTCAAACTTAAGGAATTCAATGGATCAATTTGTAATTTGATTGATTTGATCAAATTTGGACAAGACCCGGTTATATCAACTCCAAGTCTTTTTTCTTCTTACTATTATTCAAAACAATTTTATTGTATTTAAAAAAACACACCAAAACGACATTATTTTAGGATTTACTTGGCGAGCTGCAATTTGAATAACTATACTTATATGTATTCTACATTAAAAAAAAAACACCAATATTTTAAAACTACTTAGTCTCAATATTTGGAAAATAGCTTAAAAAAAGTCGTTTTGATTGGAAAAGCACAACAATGAACTATTATGAGTCACGCGTATGAAGCTGTTTTTATTTAGAACTCTAAGAATAAGCGGGAAAAAAGAAACTATTTGGTCTTAGTATATATGGCCTGCCTAAAAGTTTGCCAAATAGATTATTTTATTTCATGTTATTCAACAAAAAATGGCCCTATAATACATGATTTAAATAATAATAAAAATTAAGGAAAGTCAAAATATTGTTTCTAGATTTTTTCAAGATTTACTTCAAAATGGTTGCAAGTTAATGCCTCCATTTTCTCAATCACATGGAGGGAAGATTGTTGTTTTCACGTGCAAGGAAACCCACAGGCAAAGTGCCAAAAGACTAGCCTCGTTCTATTGTCAGGAAAGAGGACACCAAGTGATCTTGACGTGAAGGACATGGATGCTTCAGCTTCACCCGACTGTTATATATTTTTATAATATAGTTTGCATTAATGTTACTTTTTATCTGTCTGATCCTTTCTTGTCAGAAAACAATAAAGTGACGTGGATCTTGATTTGGGGATGGAGTTTTGTGTATTATTTATTGGAAAGATGCAAAAAATCGATCTGATAACAGCTAAGGCTCATGGAATGCCACCTCCTTTTTATTACATTAATTGCCAATCCTCGTATCTCAATTATGGAACGGTTAGTTGATGCCATTACTCTTTTTTTTTTTAATAAACCGAGGTGTTTGGATTATTATTATGATTAATTTTTAAATTTATTAAATATTTTTTAAATTTAATAAATAAATAAAACACAATAAAAATAACAAATATACATATAAAAAAATCGAATCCAAATACTAAAAAAAAAACTCATTCATAATTGCTAAGCCATAACCTCGAGTAGGAATTGGTGTCATAACTTAATTAAATTTGAGTGTTTCTCTTTTGGAAAAAATCATTGGGAATTTACTTGGATAAATTCAAATATTTTATTTTAAAAAATTTAAAATAAAATATTTTTTAATAATTTTGTCTAAATATGATATGGAAGAGGTTAGGTAAATCTTTTACCAAAAACATGTTGAAAATTCTGAGAGAGAAAACATGAGCATCTCTTTTGGTCAACAAAAATGAGTTGATCTCTCGTTAAAGCAACAAATATCAGAAGCAATAGGTCTTGTCCGAGTGTATGTAATTTGATGAAATCGTCGAGGAGCATCCTCGTATCATAAATGCTCGGCCACAACACATATTTTATCAGAAATAAAATGAGATTTTAATTTAAAATTTTATTTTTAAAAAATTACTAATTAAAAATTTATAAATTTCAACCATTAAAAGCTTATATTTTTATTAGTTTTAAAGTTTATAAAATTAATTAAGATATATACAAACTAATCTATATCTATATAAATAAATAAAATAAACATAGTTTTTAAATAATTATTTTTAAAGTTTTATTTTTCAATTTTCTCAATACATAGCTCCGTATTAGTCAAAACAAATTGAGAAAACTCCGGCGTCAATAACAAAAATTTGATATTTTTTATATAAAAAATTTGGTTGAAAAATAGTCTGATTGTTTTAAAAAATAATAAATGATTAATATCCTTAGGTGGCCGGTTTATGAGGCAATAAGATTGAATTCTTTACGTTATTATGTATTTTTTTTAACTAAATCTTTCCCTTGGTGATTTAACACACAGTTTCCATCTCAATATGATGCATTGAGGGGGACTTAGTAAATTTGATTAGATGAGTATCCAGATCAGCAATTTTCTCTTCGTTTCGTTTTTCTCTTAGTTCTCTTGTTAGGGAAAAAAAAAACCCTAGTTTTCACTACTGATTTTTCATTGACGATAGCCTTTAATCTCCATTGTTTTTTTTTTCTTTTGTATTTTGTTCACAAATCAAATCAATATGTTTAATAAATAAGAGCTTGAGCAAATTTATTTTTTAATAAAATATTAATTAAAAATTAAATTTATAATTTTTTCAATTTATTTTTGTAAAAATTATCTCCAACTCATAATCTGAATTGTGAGTTTGACAAATTAACTTAATTTTTTTTGTTTACTTATTTTTTTTTTAAATTCATCTTTAACAACAGATTGATTGAGAATTAAAATTTATAATTTGTTTTGTTTTATTTTGTTTTCTATGAGGTTATCCTCATCTCACGACTCGAGTCACGAGTTGAGCGAGTTAACTAAGTTGACTTGAGTTATTTTTATATTTTATTAATTATTTTTTTCTATTTTATCTTTAAATAATAGGTTAATTGAGAATCGGGTTTTATAATTTATTTTTATTTTCGTTATTCAACATTAAATTTATTAAAAAATAAATTTTATAATTTTTTATTTGTTTTTTATAAAGTTATTGTAATCTCATGACTCAGGATTAATAAGTTAAATTAAATTAATTCAAATTGATTTAATATATTTTTATCTTAATATTTATAAAATAAATTTTATATTAAATATTTATTTTAAGTTAAATTATATTTTTATCACTCATCCAAATTAATTTTGAATCCACCAAGTTAAACAGATATTAAATCAATCATTATTTTTAATTTTTTTACTATGAAAAATGGAATTTTTATTTTTTTTATCAAAAGATTTTTGATCCAACCATCCATATCCATAAAGGGTGGGACAAAATCTAGTATAACACTAAAGTGATTCTTATTCAGTGATCCTAGGGCACAAACTAAACTTGGGCTACATAATTTTAGGCCCCGTGGCTCTTCTCCAAGGGCTTCAGAAGATTGGGTTTTATGTCTATAGCTCAAACCTGATGTAAGGATATGCTTGGGCCTTCCCAATCCAGTAAATGTTCAAGTAATATTTCAATATTTATCTCTCTATATCCTCAGGACCACAGCATAATTTCCAATGCCACTTACCTGAATTAAAGTTATATTTATAATGATAATAATTATTATTATTATGAACTAGTTTTTTGTGCCTCTGATCTGCAGGCGCTCTACCCATAAAACGTTGAATAAAGTGTTCAAACAATATATAAATTTGGTGATTTAGAATGCTCCATCAGATTTTCTATATGGGATTTATAAATTATTTTCTTATAGTTTTTGTAAATGAAAACTCTTAATTACATTTAATCCCAACTTAAAATATTTAATAATAATATATCAATG